GGATGCCCTGTGCCAGGGCATCCAAAGGAGAACCGGAGCCCTTTTCCCCCAGGCTGTGACCCTGGCACACCTTTGCCCCCTCTCTGTTCTTCCTGCTTTCTGGATTTGCCCATCTGAGGCTCATTCTTGCCTGATGTCCCGGTGGGGAATGTAAACATTCATTCCATCGGGATGAATCAGCTCTCGCATCCTGAGAGGCGCAGAGGAAGAGGCTGTGGCATTTCTTCCCACCCAGCGATGGACGGAGCCATCACTGGGATTTTTGCCAATGAAAAATCCAAGCAGAGAAAGGCCAGACGTCAGCTGGAGGTGCTTTCCACCCGGCGGTTCATGATGGAGCCAACTGGGTTTAATTTGCACGCAAACTGGGGTGGGAACTTGAGAGCTGGTGGGTCTGGTCTGCAGAGGCGATGTTGGAAATGCCCAGTCCTGCCCCAAAGAATGCCTAGGGATCTGCCTTTGTCCCCTGACCCCCAAGCCAGGATGTGCCCCTATGCAGACAGTTCTGGGCTCTTCATTTGCACCCTTCTGGACGCTGCAAGTTGCCATCCCTCATGGAGGACAAGCCCCATTGCCTCCCAGGGGAAAAAAAGGGGCCTGCAGTTCTCCCAGGGCGATTTTCTTCCAACACAGCCATGGGGCCTTCCGCTTCTGACTTCATCGCCACGTGCAAAGTTGCAAAGCTTTGCAAAGTTGCAAGGCTCTGTAGAGACCAAATTGCGCTGGGGACGGAGCGGTTTGGGGAAGAGAACTCCTCCCTTGAGGTGGGTGTTTTGGGGGCACGGGTGGGCCCCTGGGTGGCCACAATGAAACCCTGCAGAGCCAACCTCGGACACATCAGAGGCGCCCACAAGGCTGAGGCCGGCTCTCCTGGACCGACTCTCCTTTGAACTTTGGCCAAAAGACTCCGTTTCTGCAGCCCACTTCCAATGAAAGAGGCGTGTGTGTGTGTGTGTGTGTGTGTGCGTGTGCGTGTGCGTGTACGTGTGTGTGTGCTGTGTTCACTGAGCTGGCCCCCACCTGCAAAGCCAGCACTGCCTTCCCTGTTTTGTACCCTTGGTCCCTTCTAACCCTCCACGCTCCAGACTCACAAAGATTCGGCCACAGGACTCTTTCCTTTCACTGCCTGGGGTGGGGTCAGGCCCCTGATGGGCCGTGGGGCAAACTTTTTATTTGCTTCAAAGGGAGCCTGCTTTGCTCTGCCTGCCAGCTGTGCTCGTCCTCAAAGGCTTCGCCTTGGTGCCCAAAAGTCACCTGCAGCTTCATCCGTTTGGGAGAAGAAGAGGTTGCCAGAATGCGGCCCATTCCTGCTCCTTCCAAGAACCCAACTTCCTCTGGGGCCTCCAAACCAAGTTGCAAGATGGGCTTCCCCAGGACCCACCTTCAGGATCCTGGTTTTCAGGGCCTCCGTGGTCCTTGAGTGCTCAGTAACAGCTGGGATCTACCCATCCATCTCTGGGATGGGAGAGACGTTCAAGAGGGTTTCCAGGCTGACAAGATTGATGATCTCAGTTTAAGAAGGGGAGGTTCTAAGATCTTCTGGATCAGCAGATGCAGATTTTATAAAAGGTGTCTGTACTCTCAGAGCTGAAGGGACATGGTGGCTCAGTGGCTAAGACGCTGAGCTTGTTGATCAAAAGGTGGGCAGTTCAGCAGTTCGAATTCCCAGCGCCGCGTAATGGGGTGAGCTCCTATGACTTGTCCCAGCTTCTGCCAACCTAGCAGTTCAAAAGCAGGTAAAAAAAATGCCAGTAGAAAAAATAGGGACCCCCTTTGGTGGGAAGGGAACAGCGTTCCGTGCGCCTTTGGCATTGAGTAATTCCGGCCACAGGACCACGGAGACGTCTTCGGACAGCGCTGGCTCTTCGGCTTTGAAACGGAGATGAGCACCACCCCCTAGAATCCAGAACAACTAGCACATATGTGCGAGGGGAACCTTTACCTTTACTCTCAGAACTGCCTTATTTGGTACCCCACCAGATATTGTGGAAAGATACTTCCCCCCCTCTTCCCCCCCCAATCTCCCCTTCTCTCTCGTCATCCTTGCTTCTGGCCTGCAAAGCCAAACAGCCTTGATTTTTCTGGCCAAAGCCAAGGCCGCAGATAACCAAGAGAAGACAGTCAACATTAACGCTCTAGACCCAACAGTTTGTCTCCTGGCTTCATCCAGAGAGTGGAGAGAGCCCCAGAAGAAGACACCGGTGTCCTGCAGGATCAGAAATCCTCCAAGCAGGCCTGGGTTCAGGAGAGCTCTTCCCTCCGGCCTTTCAGAGAGACCGACATTGAATCTAGCTTCCTTCTAATCTCTGCATGTTTCTAGTCCTTGTAGGAGGAGAGCCGTCTTAATCTGTGGGGGCAAAACATCAGGAGCCTGGCAGCCGCCTTTTCCCACTCACACATTTTACTAAAAAGTCTTCCGGAGCCACAGCTGATACCTTTTAATAAAATGTGTGAGTAGAAAAGGCCGCTGCCAGGCTCCTGATGTTTTGCAAGATGTTTTATATTCAAATATATTTTATTCTTTATAACTGTTTCCATATTCCTTTAAAATATTAACGAGGCTGCAGCCATCGCAAGCAGGGGCCGATTGCAAGTGCTCCCATTTGGATCATGGGACAGTGGGGAAATGCTGCAATGGTCGTAAATGCGAGGACTGCTCGTAAGTCGCTTGTCTCAGAGCCATTGTGATGTCAAACGGAGGCTAAAGGAACGTTTGTGAGTCAAACCAGCCCTTGGAAGCCGTGGGGTGATGCCGCCAGCAGACTCTTTAGAGCCAGATAATTTCCTTTGGGCATGCAGAACTCTACGCAGCAACGAAGACCGTCCTGGCAGCCAGTTAGCAGTTGACGATCTCTGGGTGTGGGGCTGCTGACTCAGCTGGAAGAGAGGGGGGGGGAATCCAGAGAGAGGGAGGGAGGGAGGGAGGGAGGGAGGGAGAGGAGAAATTAAAAAAAAAAAAACCAGCCCAAATTACAAGCAGAGCCTGGCCAGAGAGTTTAGCTAAATTGCCGGTTAGGGCTGTGCTTGAGCGTCTCCCTAGGGTTGCACCATGGGATGGACTCTCCGCCGGAGCTAAATTAGAGGGTGGCAGAGGAGTACGGTGACCCTGGGGCTCACCAAGCTACAGGCAGCATCGTTTTAGCCTGAGAGGTACCCCCGTGTGGGGTGGCAAGCCATCCAGCCTGCCGCTTTGCCAACCCACCTCCGCATGCTAGAAGCCACCGCAAAGACGGCTTTTGAAGAGAGACAAGCCCTTACTTCGGTGATTCTCAACCATCGTAACTTTAAACTCTCTGGACTTCAACTCCCAGAATTCCCCAGCCAGCATGCTTCCTCCAGGGAAGTCACTGAATGCTAGTGGGATGATAATGCCCAATGTTGCCAGGTTTGGGGTGCTGTGTTCTGCAACCCTGCTGGCATTTCCAGGCTGGGCACGGGGGAATCTTTGGAGCCTGGTCCAGCGGAGGGTGCGATGCTTGACTGCCACTCATAAAGACCTGCCAGTCTTCAAGCTCCACTCCATCCGTGCCCTCCGCCTGATTCCCACAATCTGAGATTCTCCTCCTCTGAATCACTGCCTTAAGCTGGGTTCTCTCTGCAGCTGCCTCTGCTCAACTGCCACATCCTTTTTGGGAGGAAAAAAGCCAGGAGAACCAACAGGCAGCAACCTTTGCAAATATTTTCCCAGTCTTGGCTTCGTTTGGTTTTGCTTTCTCACAGGGAAGAGTTCGTGTCTTGGAATTCTTTCTGCGCTCGCTTGAGCGAGAACTCCCCGGGATGTGACAGCAGTGTATTTACAATCCTGATAAGGCATTTTAGAGGGAAAAATCATTTTTTAAACTTAACTCTTCCTTGCCCTCTTTCTCTCAGCCTCCTCCCTGCGCTCTCCCGGGGTCCTTAAGAAACTCGGAGCAAAAGAAGGTTTCAAATTTCATTTGCAGGCTTGACTGGAATAAAACTATGGTTCTCTGGAGAAGCCTTCATCACAAACTGCTTGTGTGTGTGTCTGCAAGAGAACCGCCCATTATGGACTCAGGAAGAGGCAAAGAACGGGAGGGATTCGCTGTATAATTTGACATTCCTCCATTGTATTGACTAGAAACGTAGCACCCTCATTTCATTTGCTGGCATCTAATTGAATTAAATTATCCAATTTGCCCAGGGATTGTGGAATAAGCCACAACAGGCCCCATTCACAATCATGTTCCTGCGACATGCTAAACCAGAACCAAACCACACTCTTAGCTTAGCACGATGCCAAAATCTGCCTTCTCCAGCAATCTTTCCTCAGTGAGAGGCGATAATCAAGGCAAAGAGGAAAACAAACAGGCTGTTTGAGGATGAGAAGAAACTTGGTACGTGCTCAGATGCACCCTTGTTCTCCTGGGGCAAATAATTTGGAAGAACTTGCTGTGGACTTAGAAAGTGGCTGCTTTGAGCCTTAGCTTTGCATCTCGTTCCTGCCTTGAAAGCACTTTTTCATCAATGTTTTCATTTACATTTGAATGCTGCTTAGGTTACGGAGCAGCCAGTGCCTAACCAGAGCCACAAACCCAGAGACAGAAATATGAGGTTCTAAGTTAGAACAAACCAGGATCTCTTTTTCCCCCAGATGACTTGTCCAAAACTGCCACGGGTATGAAAAGGAAGGAAGGAAAGAAAGAAAGGAAAGGAAAGGAAGAAAGAAGAAAGAAAGAAAGAAAGAAAGAAAGAAAGAAAGAAAGAGAGAGAGAGAAAGAAAGAAAGAAAGAAAGAAAGAAAGAAAGAAAGAAAGAAAGAAAGAAAGAAAGAAAGAAAGAAAGAAAGAAAGAAAGAAAGAAAGAAAGAAAAATTTTCGGTGGGCCACTCCTGCGATGCAAGCTCTGTGTTTGGGAAGATGTGCAGGACATAATTCTCTCCCCCCACTCCCTGGTTGTGTCTTGCACGGTCCCTCCCAGCTGGGGGGGGGGGCTCTGCCTCCAGAAGAAAAGAGGAGGGAAGGGACGGAGAGGGGAGCTGTTCGGGGCTGTCCTGCCCTTCCCTCTTCCTACCCTCCCATTCCCACATGAAACCAGATTTAATGCAAACAAGCTGGCCTGGCTCAGAGCTGCCCAGGACGCTGCCGAGAGCAGAGCAGAGCAGAGCAGAACGGAGTCCCTCCAGGCGCCAGGCGCCCCAACTCGGAGAGAAACTTCCCGAGAGGACCCAGCCGCCTTCCCACCTCCTCTTCCCCGGGTGAGTCCCTGCCAGGCGCTTCTCCTGCTTGGGGGCCCAGCTGGCTTCCTTCAGTTGGGGGTCTCTCTGCCATTCTCCCTGGCAATGGGGAATCCTGAGGGGATCCTGCCACCCCTCCCGCCCTGCCAGGCACCTCGTGACCCTTTTTGAGACCTCCGCAAGGGTAGCAAGAGCCCGCCTCTGCCCCTGTATTAATGCCAGGTGTGCAGAAAGAGCCAGTGGGGCACGTGAGTGCCAGTCAGCAGAATCCCCTCCCCCTCTTGCATCTGGAGGGTTGCCACTGTGAAGAGGCGAGAAGGTTGGGCAGTTCAGGGATGCTGCTGCCCGGTAGACTTCAGAGGCCAAAGGAGCCTCCCTGCAGACCGACTGCCTCTAAGCAAACTTTTGCACAACCGCAAAGGTTGCCTTCGATGCCCGCAGCCCTTTCGCTGCCCTCTCTTGTCATTGTGCGCCCAGGCCTTGAGAGCTGCAAGACGGGCACCCATCTGCCTCCCCAAAGCTGCAAGGCTTGGGTTGGGGCAGGCACGCTTTTGAGGGGAGGTCTGGGTGGGTCCAAACCCCGACACTCATACTTTTCTCTTCTCTCTCCATCCCTTCCCCGAACTGATAGATTTCCATGCTGGGGTCCCTTGGGATTTCCTTTCTTCTGCACATGTGCAAAGTGCTTCTGCTTGACTCACAACCGGTCCCTGTGGTGCCTCCTCTTTTGCAGTTGGAGCCTGGGGGTCGGAAAGAGAGAAGAACCCCCCCCCCCCGAGAACCATCCTCTTTCGATAGCTTCTGTGGTTGCTTTTTTGGGTGACTGCATCCTTCCTCTGACTTGGCTAACTTTAAAATATTAACAAGAAGTAAATTTGAAGGGATTGCCCTGCCTTTTCAAATTGCACATTCATAAATCCTATCATCTCCATCTCTCTCTCTCTCTCTCTCTCCTCTCTCTCTCTCTCTCTCTCTTTCTCAATCATCTATCGTGTTTTTGGCTCAGTGAGTCCAAATACAGATTAGGTGGACGTGTTCCTGGGGGGCCCATGGGGCTGGAAAGTACAGAAGCCCCCACCCCTGAAATGAAGTAGAATTAAATATCCCCTGTTGTGGTCCAGAGTCTGCAGCTGGCTCTTGGTGGGGGGGGGGGCTGGGATCCCAAGCGGAGTCTGGACTGTTGATTTAATTGCCATTTGATAATTTGTTCCTGCCAAGGAAAGTCAGAGAGATCTCAGATTACAGAAAGCTAAAGTGGGTTTAGAGAATATGTTATGCTTTTGGGGAAGGAAAGGAAAGAGGGAGGGAGGGTTGGAGGGTGGCTGATGACGATGCATTGAGTCTGAGCAAAGCCAGGGGGGTTGGAGGCATTCCTAGGAACGGGGACTGAGGAATGGAGGACTGCTTCTTCCCAGATGCTACAGTAGGGGAATAAAAAAGTTGAATTTTTATTGGGGTACTCTTAAATTTGATGTTTACATCAAGTTTTAGATAGCTGAGTGGAGCCTATACCTTCAGCAGCAGTCTACCTGTGACTACCAGAAATGGGAACGGTGGTAATCTGAGCTGCTCAGAAACATCTGGTTGGCTTCTATTGAAGGAGGAGAACCTTAAACAGGGGAGAAGGGGGCACAAGGCAGACCCCCCCCTTAACCTGCAGCTTTTCATCCTGGGAACACAGTGGATTTGGGATGCCGGACAGGGCAAAAAGCTAGTTTGGGGAGCCAGAAAGGTGCCTCTCTGATCACAGAAGAGCAGGGGCCCTGAGATGTCCCCTCCACCCCAAAAATGTGGATGCCCCTTTGGGAGGGGGAGAGAGTCAGGAAAGAAAAGGAGGAAGTTGGAAGATGAAGAGTGTTTTATCACAGCATCCTTCATTAAGAAAATCCAATCAAACGCAGAGGATGGAGATCAGGCCAAATTTGGACCATGGACTGCAGAGAAATCCTCCTTGGTAGCTCCTGGGTGGGGGAGGGCGGGGGGGCTGGCCTGGCGAATCCCCCTCCAGGTGCTCTTGGTCTCCTCTGATTCACCACGATCCCCAACGTTGCCCTGCTGAAGTTTTAGGAGGCTGAAAAGCCGAGAACTGCTGGAAAGTGGGGAAAGGGGGACCGGTCACATCTGGCAGCCCATCGAGGACCCTCCAGCTGTTCCAGCCCCCCAGACATCCAGATGGCCAGACCACCCACTCTGGGGGCTGCAGGAAGGCTCCAGGCTGGGCAAAGCGGGTGCATGTATTGCCCTCAGCTGGCCAAGAAAGGATTGGCTTTCAGTTTGGCCGCTTTTAGCAAAACATCTGGAATTTGGGAAAGGTCTCAAAGCCTGGGCAGTCTCAAGGGAAGGGTTAGCGTCTGACCGTGTGCAGAAGGACACCCCCGTGCCTCTCCCTGAGGATTCTAGGCTGGACTTCTGAGCTTCCAAATTAAGACCAGGATGTGTGACCTGAGAAAGAGACAGAGGAAGAGAGAAAGAGAGAGAAAGAAGGAGAGAGAGAAAGAAAGAGAAAGAGGAGAGAAAGAGGGAGAGAGAGAAAGAAAGAAAGAGAAAGAGGAGAGAAAGAGGGAGGGAGAGTGGGAGAGAGAGAGAGAAGAAGGGAGAAAGAGAAAAAAGAGAAAAGAAAGAACGGAGAGAGAGAGAGGAGAGAAAGAGGGAGAGAGAGAGAGAGAAAGAGAAAGAGGAGAGAGAGGGAGGGAGAGTGGGAGAGAGAGAGAAGGAGAAGGAATGGAGACATTTCTTGAACTTTCTTTGTTTAGATCTACCGGGTAGGTTAACGGGGCCTAAAGTAAACCTCAGCCAGCAGGGAGAGCGCTGGCGTTCTTGAGCTGTCTCGCGTCGCTCAGCCCGGCCAGCCGCCGTTTCCGTTGAGAGGCTCCAAGCTCAGGAATGTCTCCCGCTGCCAGCTGTGCTCCGCTCAGGCCAAATCGGGATACTTAAACACCACCGTCCGTCCCAAGAATGATTGAGAGCAACCGAGGCTGCAAACCGACTCTGGGCACGGAGGGATGCCCGGATTCCCAAGTGGAAAGTCCTTTGCAGGCCAGACGTTCTCCGTCTCCTTCTCTGAACAGAGAGCAGGGCTGTTCTGAATTCGGACAGGCCAGAATAACTTAATTGCCCCCTCCATTGCAGAGACACCCCCCAAATTAACGGACAGATGTGAATGAATGCAGCTGGAGTTTTGGGCTGCATCTCTGCCGCTGGAAAGTAACCCTGGCCAGACCACCAACCTATGAGATCCAGGGCTCCCCATCTAGCTGCCGTTCTGGAATTGGGGGTAGAAAGTGAGGGTCTTAAGCTTGGAAACGTCTTCACGCTCCCCAGTAGCCTTCTGCAGATCAGGGACTCATACGGAGAACCAAGGCAGACTCCCCCACAAAGCACCCTAAGCTGGTTTGGAGAGACCTTGGTTTGGCCTAAGATTTAAAACTTCAGGGCAGGTTCATTGTTGTTCCAATCACTGCCGATTTTAGAATAAATGAATATTTTTATTACCATCTCCAACCAGAATTGCAAACAAACAAACAAACAAGCATTAGAAATCAAATAAAACCAAGATAAACTATTACAGTTGGTGGAGGCTCATAGATTTTATACAAGACAAGGTAAAATGGGCATTTGGTGTTGGGGAAGGCAGGGAATAGACCGAGGGGCCCAAATATTTGATTTTCGTGCATGATTGCAATTCTTCGGATTGGTTTGTTTTAGCTCTGCTTATTTTCAGTGTGGAAAGGAGAAATCCTTCCAGAAAAAGGTTTCTTTGATTCAAAGAAGACTCTGAAGACTAACAGATCCCTTGTGTGTCCCTTGTGTTGTTTTTTTTCTCCCCCCCAGAAATCTGTGTGGTCCTTTGAGCCTTGCCATGGCAGCCATGCAAGATCTCTGCCTGCTTCTTCTCTTGATGTCTCCCTTTTGTGCCTCAAGATCAATTCAGAACCTGGTCCTGGAAGACAGCGAGGGGAGCGGAGACAGCGAGGGGGCTCCCCCCGACCCCACTTCTGCCAGGGCGACTCTGAGTGCGAGTCCCACCTCAGGGAGCCTTGTGGTCGATTCGGTCAACGGAACTTTGCACTCGTTCAACATCCTGGACGGCATTGTGAACTTCTTCCAGACGTACATGCTCCTGATCGTGGTGTTGGGCTCCCTTCTCCTCATCATCCTTTCCATCGTGTGTGCGGCTGTCATCACCCAGCAGAAACACAAGGCCTCCGCCTATTACCCGTCATCTTTTCCAAAAAAGAAGTACGTGGATCAGAACGACAAGGCAGGGGGGGCCAAGGCCTTCAGCGAAGTTCCCGAGAAGCTGTCAGATGACAGGCAAGAGGAGCCGGTGGATTCCACCAAACAGTTGCAGGCTGACATCTTAGCTGCTGCCCAGAACCTCAAGTCTCCAACCAAGGTCGTCATGGCGAATGGGAAAAGTGGCCCCGTGGAAGATCCACCGGTGGAAAGGAAAGAGGAAGGGCCCCAAAAAACAGAAGACGTGGAGGAAGGCAGCTCCAAAGAAGAAGAAGAAGAAGAAGAAGAAGGAGAGGAAAAATCACCAACTGAGACTGAGCTGCCTCCAGAGACATCAGCTACAAACAATTTGGCGGATGCTGAGACCAAAGAAGAAGAGATCCCATCTGTGGTGGAGACCCATCCATCTCCACTTGAGGAGTCCAAGGAAGCCCCACCCACCGAGAAACCTGCCATGTCTGCCTCAGAAGGTGAGAAGGAGCAGAAGGAAGAGCTCAGCGCTCCACTGACTCTTGACCCTACAGAAGAATCCAAAAACTGAATGGGGCCAGTTCCCATCACTGGGGGGACAGCTTATAATATGAAATCTGCAGGGATCTGTTTATCAAACAGAGGGCAGCAGAACTTTACCTTACCTGTAAAGAAGACAAGTTAGCCACCTCCCAAGAAACACCTGAAAGTTCTACATTATTGTGATTTTTCTTTAATGGACTTCCTTCAGTTATGCAGAGTTGCCCAAGCCTTGTGCCCTCCAGGTGCAAGTCATGGACCATGACTTCCATCATCCCCTGCCAACCTACCCAGGGAGGTGATGAGAGTCACTTAACCCATCTGGGGGGAGAGGGAAGCTGAGTGACTGCAATGTCATAATGTAGCTACTCAACCAGATATCCTTGAGCAGGGAAGAAATAACTTATTTTAGAAGACCTGTTGAAGACACATAGACTTCAACGTGGTTCCAGGATTCTTCTGGAAGAACCATCCTAGTATCGTCCTCCAGGACTTTCCCACTTTCAGGGAGAACATATCTGCACATACGTACATACATAATTTTTGAGGTGGGCCCTTTGGGTGAGCATCTAACTCTATTTATATCACTCCTTAATTCTGGACCAAGATTGTGTGCAGAGATGATTGGCCAACCTTTCTATCAATCATGAAGTCATCCAGACCTTTCTTCCCCCCCTCCACTGCTGATGAGATCGTCTTTGGGCAAACTTGAAGTTATTTCATACCTGTTCTTCTTTTAAAGCAAATCTTGGCTCAACTCTGTTTAGTTGTCCCTTATGTCAATCATTAATTCATTTACTTTTGCTCCTATCAGCTCTGAAAGCTGAACTCATGGCCGTATATAGTTTCAGAATGGCCAACCTGAATTCAGATTTTTAAATACAATTTCCGGACAAGCAATGACAACAATATACAATGGATCCACCACTCAGTCCAAGTTTGTTTGTTTTTTTTTAAATCTGGTTTCTGAGAATCCTTAACTTCAAGTTCTCCAGATGCTTTAGGAGATCTGATTGCTCAATCCAACCAACCTTGGGAAGAATCTCATGACATTTCTGATAATTATTCCTCTTAAAGGTCTACAAATACTCAGACTTTTGTATGGAGGGGAAGACACTGAGGACTTTCACGAGTGAATGAAGCCCAACAAAGGTGGAGTTTTTAATCTATGTTCAATCCCGAAGTTCTTCACTTGTCAAGATTTGGTTAATCTTCAGAGGCCTCATATTTTTCAGCATTCACCAGTAGTGTGTTCCACTTACCTTCGCTACCGGTTCGGAGCTGTGAGCGCGCGCGCATGCATAAAACCTTCTGCACATGCGCAGAGCGCCCGTGATGACATCTGGGCGGGTGGGCGGAGCCTCCTGCTGCCGCCACTACCGATTCACCCAACCGGGGCAAACCAATAGAAACCCACCACTGATTCAAATGTTTTCAGGGCTTTTTAAAACTCAGTTATTAGGGAAGTGGAGGGAAGACTTTTGGTCATTTTTTTTAAAAAAAATGTTTTTATACTTTGACGGGGGACATTGGATTTCAGATTTCCAGGGCTAATCTTTCTGGGCCAACTAGAGAAACGTTTCAGTAAGCCTTACAGCTGAAGCAAGTGAGATTAACCTGGTTTGCGACAAGCCTTGAAGAAGCTGGGTGCCAGGAGAACATATTTGCAACAACAGAAAAAGCCCTCCTTGGTTTTTCCCAGCCTCTTTGCAAAGGTTCTGCTGATATTTATGACTTTTCCTCCCACTGGGGTTCTCCCAGGGTGACCCTTGTAATCCTAGTAAAAACATCTATAAATTTAGCTGACCAAGACGTTTATTGTAGTTTTGAGGACTTATCTGGGGCAGGGTTTAGTAGGTTGACCGTCTCTGGCAGTCCCCACAGTCCTACACTCTCAAGGCCATTTTTGAAAGAGAGACGCTAACGGGGCTGTAAAAGACAACATCTGGAGCTTTGCAACCAGATAAACCCCAACTGGGTTAGCATGAAGAGGCTTTTGTGAACCTCTCAGCATCTTTTTCTAGGGCTTCCTAAACCTTAAAAACGTGAGGAAGGACACAGTGTTGATAAAAACACAAAATAAACATCTTTAGAGCCCTTCTTGACTTTCCAGATGTTCCAACCCAGTCCATGTCTGGCAAAAGTCCAGGCGTGGCAGAAACCAGATGCCCAAATACTTAGAATTGTGTTTCTCAAGCGTTAAAGTGTTTGCACTTCAACTCCCAGAATTCCCCAGGCAGCACAGTTTAATTGGTTGATATGGCCAAGGATTTCCAAAAAATGGTCCAAATTCAATAAAATGCCTTCACTGTAATGTTCCTTTCCCTTGCCTGAACCCGCCCTAAGCCTACAATGAGTCCAAATGTATTTTTCTCCGTTATAGACGTATGTTCCATTAAAAAGAAACGATAAAGCTTGTGTGGATGTGTGGCCGAGGACTGGTGATTTTCCTGCCCTGAATTCTTCTAGAAATGGAAGGGGGTTCCCCCCCCCACCAAAAAAAGACAGTTCTTGCTTAATATGCAGCTCATAGAATCTTGGGTCTTTCTTGGGAATGGTTCCTCCAGTGAGTCTCAGATTGTGGCCAAACCACTCCTCCAAATTACAGGATTTGCACACTTCCCCTTTGACCCACTGGAATATTTGGGGAAGAGGTCAGCTAAACCTGTCTCGTCCTACGTCGCCATGCCGGTTTTTGTTTTAAGCTCTCTTGGGGTGCTTGTCATCTTCCTTGGGCAACTACAACCCCCTCCGGTCTCCCTTCTTCTCATCCCGTTTCCAAAACAGTTCCCAAAGGTTCTCCCATCCTCCCTTTGGCAAGTTGATTTTTCACTGTCTTGGTGGCTAGACTGGAAGTGGGGGGGGGGGAGCAAACATAGTTGTGAAACGTCTTTCTCTCCTGGGATTAAAAGAGGAAATAGCCGGCATTCTTGGGCCAGAAAGAGAGCATCCGTGGGGCCTCCAGATGGAAATTCCCGCCTTCCATCGGGCACTCCGGACTCTGCTGTGTTGCAGCACTTGGGAGAATTTCTGCCTGCTTTGAAGGCTGCAAGCAGCTCAGCCAAGGGGAGAGGTGGGGTGGAGGAAAACGGGCCTTGGGGATGGTCCGGGGTTCTAGCAGGCACCAGGGGTGACGTGATGCTGCTTTTTGACCTAATTGGCACTGCCAAGCCCTCCCCTTGCCAGCTCTGGCTTCCCCTTTCTCCCTCTTCTGCTTGCAATGAAACAAGGTCAAACAGCCCCTGCTTGGCAAGGGGGCCCCTCAGCAAGTTGCAAAAGATTTGGGGCACCCTCCTTCAGGGTTGTCCCAAAGGCCCTTTTCAAAAGGCAACTGGTTCTATTTCTATTTGCGGCTTCTGTTCCCCACCATTCAGTCAGAACTGAAGAAGCTTCTTGGATGAGAAGCGAAATGCTTTCAAAGAAAAACAAACAAACAAAAAAGTTCAGCTGCCTTTTGAAAAGCATCTTTGGAACAACCATGACCCGGATGGTTGACAATCTCCATAGACATTTATCCTTCAAGATGTTCTCCACAGTGGAGGGGAATCTCCCAGCCCCCCTCTCGGACTGTTGCTAAATTCCCAGGGTTCTTTTTTGTCTGTCCAGATGCAAATCACACAGAATAACAGAGTTGGAAGGGACCTTGGAGGTCATCTAGTATAACCCCGTGCAGGAGACGCCATTCCATTCCAGACAAATGGTTGTCCAATCTCTTCTTAAAAACTTCCAATGTTGGAGCATTCACAACTTCTGGAGACAAGTTGTTCCACTGACTAATTGTCCTCACTGTCAGGAAATTTCTCCTTAGTTCTAGGTTGCTTCTTTCCTTGTTCAGAGAAGAGATCCAGCCTAGAAAGCCGACACAGCCTCCCTACCCTCCAAGCAGGAGGAGCAAAGTGGGTCCTTTAAGGGAAGCTGCAACCCTTCCCCACACCTTTGACTTGTGACAGATAACCCGGAGTCCAGTTTGGGCCTCTTTTCACCAGCAAGAGGATGGCAGGATGGCAGACAAAATATGGGGGCGCATCTCATTCCTCTTTGCATGTTTTCACCTCCCAGCACAGCCCTGCTTTAAAACCCCCAATTCTCGACCTGCTTGCCCAGTCAGTCTGTCTCCAGTCTATGTCAAGGTCCTCCTTCAGAGAAAGCCTAAAAATTTGCAATTTGCGTAATTTCTCAGAAGCAGAAGCAACAACCCAGTGGCAAGGTCAGTTGCCAACAAAGCACTGATGTGTGCTTGCGAAGGAGAGATAAGAGCATGCGTGAAGGCAAAACAATCCTCCCCAATTATTATTTCGCTCTCTCTCCCGTTCTCTGAGCACAAAACAGCTGAATTTGGGCGCATTTGTTCAGGCTGTTTAAGGAACAAAATCTGCAATGCTTTAAAAGCACCGAGCAGGGAAAAGGTATGTTTCCTAAGCCCTTCTTCCCCTGGGGACACGGAGAACTTATAAAAGGAGAGACGTTTTCTAGGGGTGGGGGGAGGTGGTGAGGCTGACCAGGTACTGGCACCACCACCTGCCACTTTTGATATGCTTGGGGGTGGGGGGGAAAAAGACAGCCTGGCTCAAACTTCTGCTGTTCGGCCTGGCAGAGAATGCCAAGAAAACGTTAACTGCTGATCTCGAATTCAGGAGAAACCTCAAGACTAAAAATGGCTGCTTGGAGCACTGAAGGTTTGGCCGATTCCTGGAACCAAGGGAGGGCTGTAATTTAGCAGCTGCTGTGGGTTGTCTGTGGGTTTTCAGGATGGTCCCGATTTAGAGAAATCTGCCCAATATTTATGACAGGCAGAGAGTTGGAGAGAACATCTACTCCTTTCATTTCTGACCACCTTCCTCCAACATCAGGGAGAGCTTCAGCCGAGGCTTTCCTGCCTCCCTTTCTTGCACTGTGGTGGCCCCTTCCCAGAAGCCCCTTCCCATCCCAGGGCTATTGAAAGCACAGACCTTTTGGCTCCTTCCTGGCTCTCCATTGCAGGGTCTGCGCTTAAACTGGGCTTGCATTTTGTCATAAACCAGGATGTCGCCCCAGCTGGCATGACATGCCACCAGAACAAATCGTGTTGGAGCTTAGGGCAGCAGGGATGGGTCTGCCGAGCATCAAGGAAGATTTAAACGAGAAAAGCAATACTGTTGACTAGCTAAGCTTTGTTTCTTGGAGAGCTTTTAAAAGGGGACTAGAAAAATCATCTGCTATGGAAGAGAAAGCTTGAGTCTAAAACTCAGGTGAAAATGGGCAGACTAAAATGATCCAACCCTTTTGTCAAAATCTTCTCTTCACCAGAAGGCGCTCTTCGGACGCAAAACATTTCAGAGTAGTTTATTTTTAAGCATCTCCTTTTTGCCTTTGAATGGGGAGGCCTATTGTTGACTGGGGTGGCTTCAGAGTGGATTATCCAGTTGCTGGGATCAACGGCAGGCAGGCAGGCAGACGATGCTTTGGCAGCTGAGGACTGTTTTGGTTGGAAACCTGAGCCGAAGATAAATTATCCCAAATACAGGGTGGCAGCTGGCACTCGACAGGAGGGGTGAAAAACCTTCGCCTGTCTGTCTGTCAGCATGCACTTCTCCCTGGCCTCTGAAGAATGTGGAGGCAAGTTTCACTGTTTGGGGTAGCCTTTGCAGAAGGGAATTGCCACGCTGGGGCTGTCCCCATCTCATCAGCCAGCCTGGACACGTCAACGGACCCCTAATTGAAAAAGAGTCCCCTCTGGCGCCTTCAATAGAGCCTCCTATTCTCATTAGGTAGATTTTAAAAAAAATCATCAAGAGCAGCAGCTGCTGTTTTGCATGTGCTGAGAAACTGGTGTATATTCTGCTCCTCTCCAGTCTATGTCAGACAGTCCAGTTCTATCAGATTTGGGGAATGAACAGATCACAAGTTTATAGATACTGCCAGGCAATAGGGGGAAAAGTGTCAGACTTCCAAAATGTCATTAGGACTGATAAAAAATGTGGTACAGTATTTCTCAAGCTTGGCACCTTGAGATGGGTGGACTTCAATTCTCAGAATTCCCCAGCCAACAAGCAACTGTTCGCTGGCCTTGTGGTTAAGTCACCAGGCTAGAAGCCAGGAGATGTGAATTCTAGCCCTGCTTAGGCATGAAAACCGGCTGGGTGACTTTGGGTCAGCCCCTATCTCTCTCAGCCCAACCCATCTCACAGGATTGTTGTTATAGGGAAACGAGGAGGAAGGAGCATTAGGTATGTTCTCCACCTTGAGTTACTTATAAAAATAGTAAAGGTGTGATATAAATAAAACGCAAATTAAAAGAACTCATTTTTCTTTAGAACAAACATATATTATCTCTGCATGTGTTGCACAGGCTGAACAGCAAACAAATCTGAAATTCGTGTATTAACAATCAGGTGAAATAAAAATATATTCCTTTCTTTACAATTCCAATCTAGAAAATAGCAAAACACAGCTTTACTGTACTTATTAGGTCTATCCCTCATATAAGGGGAACGTGAAGCCAGCAACATAAAACTACACTGCTATTAGCCCCCAAATCAATGACCACAAATGTAGTCATAAGCCCAAAGAGCCTCCGTACTGCTCTAAATCTGCCCCTGGAGGGAGAAGCATGGGAGGCCATACATCATTGCTTATCCCTGTGGACTCACGGATTGTACCTGAAATGGCCCTGGGACTTTTCTCTGTAACTAAGAGACAACTTTAACCCCCACCCCCACCCCTTCAATGGCCATCCTTAAGGCTACAAATCAAATCTCAGACGAAGATATTTCACACAGATAAAGGAAAAGAAGCCAAGAGCAAAAAGCTGCAGCAAAGTCAGTCTATCCTGTTGGCTCTAGTACAGTCTTAACATTGTGCGTATGAGTTGTGCGTCTTTCCAAAATGTTGATGGATCAAGCTCCTAAGATATCATGCTGAGGCTACAAGTGGAACGAAGGGAAGCTGGCTTCCAGGTCTTGAGATGCAGAGGAGCCCTACATACTGGCTGCGCTCTTCTCAGGTCCAGCAGGGTTTGACCCCTGCTTCAACTTGTAATCCGCCAAGGCAGCCTTGATGGCGTCTTCTGCTAGCACTGAGAGAGAGAGAGAGAGAGAAAGTGTCAAAGCTTGGAAACACGTGATGCTGCTTTGTTTTCCATGGGGAAAACAAAGGGTCCAGGAATGCAATCAACAGTGAAAATCCTACTCACTTGAGCAGTGCAGTTTTACTGGTGGCAGGCAAAGCTCTTTAGCAATATCCGTGTTTTTTATCTTCAAGGCTTCATCAACCTGAAATTGACCCAAATTGATAGTTTAACAAGGCCTGGGTAGCTCTTTCCCAAGGATCTTGTTTACAAAGAGGTTCTCACTTTATTTTACATGAGAATATGCCCACCCAAGGCCGAAGGTTCACAAATGTCCTCGAAGATGATGGAAGAGAAGACGGGACTTAACTCT